CTGGGTGCAGCAGCAACATGGCGCTTGGCCCCCGGGAGCCGGAGCCGCAGCCCCACAGGACACCGGCGGCGGAAGCACGGGATGGAGGGAGGCCCTGCCTGCCGACCCCGCCCGGCGCCGGCCGCAGCCCCCTCGACCACAACGCGCTCGGGACCCCCGGGAATGGGCCTCTGAAACCCCCACCCAGGTTGGAAGTCAGAGGGCGGTTCTGACAGCACCTGCTGCTATTTTTAAGATGGCTTCTCCTCCAGCTCCCAAGGCTTGAATATCGGGGGTAAATACTTCCCTTAGAGAAAGCGCGTTTAACTTCAGGCTAATATTTTATTAAGTACTGTACCACTTGGCTACAATAGACTCGTCTTTATGAAATTAACTTTCTTTTGTAGTAAAACCCTTCCTGGGCAGCATCTGAAATTCCTGGCCGAGGCTGGGCGTGGTCCTGGCTGCCTCCTCCAATACCTTCACCTGCTGAGCACCCCAAGGCCCACAAATTCTCTGCTCCCCGGGCCCTTGGGTTCGGCGTGGCCTTGGGTGAGGTGGGCCAGCTGGGTCCATCACCCCTGCTTAGATGACCAATTTTAGGGGGTTTTGGGTCACGAGTCTGAGGCTCCAGCAGCCACGCCTCCCAGAGCTGGGTCCTGGCACTGCCCTTTTGCCACCCCACCAGGAACTGGTAAGACACCCTCTGCCTTGCCCACGGGCATGTCCCCTTCCGAGCCAGGTGGGCCCGTGGGGCTGTGCCCGGTCCTGTGCTTGCGTTCTGACCAGCCTGTGGTGCTCAGTGCCTGCGGCCGGGAAGCTAAGGTGTGGCTCTTCCCTGGACCTGGGGCAGCAGAAGGCACGTAGGTAATGACCCTCCGGGTGGAGTGGCCCCAGGAGCACACAGCTGAGGGAAAGGTGACGGAGCAGCCAGTCTGGTGCCCAGCGCCCCATGGGAAGCCCAGGGTCAGCATGGACAGGAGGGGTACTTCCTGGAGGCATCCAGGGGCGGCCACCAGAAAGCCCCAGGTGGTGCCTCACCTGGGGTGGCAGCTAGGTCTCCCCTCCACTGTCAGGCTCTGCCCCAGGTCCTCCGAGCAGCCTCCATGGGGCCAGCAGCAGGACTCACCACAGCCTGTCCGGATGAATCTGGGTCTGGTGTGTAACCACGGGGCAGGTGGGCTCCATACAATTAAGGCAGGTGGCCCAGGTGAGGCCACCTGGGACACTCTGGGGTCTCCCAGACGGCTCAGGGCCCAGAATACTCAGGAGATGGGCCCAGGCCGCGTTCTGTGACCTTACCCACCCGAACCCAGAGGAGTGGGGAATGCAGGCAGAGCCCCGAGGCCCGTCCCACAGCCCTGCCCGCACTTCACAGAGAAGCTCTACACAAGCCCCCGTCCTCGTGCAGCTGGGAAAGCAGCCCCGGCCGCGCCCTCGCCCTGGCCCTGCCCGCTCAGCCCACG